TTGGGTGAAAAATTAGGTACTTCTAAAGGACTCTATGTGGACATTTACGGCGGCATAAACTACGTATACGCCAGAGATTTCGCAGCTGTCAGGCAAGTTTTGTTTATCTAAACAATTTTAAGGTGAACATTTTATATTTTTGGAAAACTTATCTTCAATATAAAATAGCTTATCTAAAATAACATATGCAATCAATAAATTGCTTCGTGACATAATTTGTTTACAGGTGGATTCCAAGTATGGGTTTGTCAGCCGAAGGGCACAAAGTTTTATTACAGTCGAGAAATAAGTTGCCAGCAGTTACCAAAATTTTAGCTGACAGCTCGTACCTACAAGTGTGGGCGATAAATGAAAAACCAGACTCAGATTATCAACGCTTCACAGTTAGAATTAACTCGTTAACATTCTGAATCAGTTATATTTTATCTTTCGTAAAATTCATTTTAATCAATAATAAATTGCGTTATTTTTTATACAAATTAAAAATGAAAATAATCGAGTAAATTTGCTTAACTAATCTATAGGACATATGTTCACTTTAAGCATACCGGCTGTTCGGAAACAGCATAAGGATTTCATGTCTATAGTATTTACCATAAAATGTAATATTGCTTTCCGGTTTTTTACATACTAATGGTAGTATTAATTATACAACATGGTGCTATATATTATCAGAATGATTAATTTAAATTCCATTAAGTCGATCTCGTTTATTCATTTGATTTTTTTTTACATAAAATAAACATACAAAATATACATATACATTAGTTTGCAGTACCTAATGTTTTCTCGTATATTTTTTTGAGTAGCGAAACGATGACGAAGCAATAAAAAAAATTACAGTTTCCCCAATAGCTTTTGCCATTACACGTAAAATGCATCCCAAACGTCGGAAAAAAAGTATACCTGAATGTATTGTGTTTATGGAAATTCTTAGATACAATAACCCTGTGGATACCCCTATTATGTTAAAGTACTGGAATGGAAAACCTCACTTAAACTACAGCGATGATATGGACGCTCATCACTGTCTAAATCCCTGCAGCGCGACAGGTAACGGTGTTTCCATGATGATTCTGAACAGATCCATAAAAGAATGTGTTTTTATGACTCGACTTAAAAAATCAAATGCGTAAATGTTATTTAACATTTT